CCCCAGGTGGGCTGAGCTGGCCACACACACATTAAAAAAAAAAAAAGAACTGTGGACATTGGCTTTCTTGGTTTCACGGTTTTTTTCTCCCTTAGTCTTCCATCCTTTCCCACAATGACAAGTGAGCAAAGGAGCATGGACAGGACAGGCATGGTGGCACCACCCTGCAGACCGCAGCACCTGGGAGTGTGGAGCAGGAGGAAGCCAAGTTCAAGTCGATCAGAAAGTGTCAAGGACAGCAGTGTCTCTCTCCCCCAGACTCCTTCCCTCCGAGTCCTGTCTTTCAGTCTTTCTTATTCATTCTCCCTTTCCTTTCCCTCTCTGTTTAGAACGATGACGTATATGGAACTAAAGAACTGAAAGAGAAAAGAGAGAGAAAAAGAAAAGAAAAAAAAAAACAAAACACCTAAACTGGGCCCCATTTTCTTTTAATACTTGAAGGACCGGGATTAGGTTTAAAATATGTCTGGGTAGGGATGGGACAGTGGACTTATGTTTTCGTAAAACTGGAGACCAAAGCAGCTGGAAGTTGTAATGTGTTGGTTGGTAGCGAAAACTAAAAAACAAAAACACATACACATGAAAACAAAACTTGGAGGGACTGGGAGACAGGCAACCTGAGTGGAGTACTGGACAGGGAAATGAAAATGCTGATTCATTTAAAATGATAAAATGGAATCTTGTGAATACTGTACTAGCGAATATTCTGTTGCACTGTACAAAGTCTCTGAAGTGAAATTAAAAGTTTTTATTGACCCCGTGGGCTTTGATTCGCCTGTATTTTCCTGGCAGCGGACTAAGTACCATACGTTCATGCACCGCTTGTACCTCGGTTAGCCAATTACACATCAGGAAGCCACTTCGTTCCCGCCCACTTTGGTGATAGACATTCGACCGCCCCCAATCAGCGGCATCCAGTGGAGAGGCGGCCAATCAAAAGCACTGGTGGGCGGTGCAGCCCAGCCAGTTCGATTTGGCGGTTCGACTCCAACATGGCTGAGGCTAAAGTCCCCAATGAAGCAGCGGGTGAGGTAAAGCCTAACGGGCCATCTCCGGAATCCGTGCCACCAGGCACTGCTGTTTCGCGGGTGAAGCTCCTCGACACCATGGTGGATACTTTTCTTCAAAAGCTGATCGCCGCCGGGAGGTAAAGTGGAAAATGGGACACTGAAGTTGGTCCCAGCTACAGTTCAAATCCCGCGAGATCGCGCCAGAGTGCGGTCACGTGGGGTGGTGTGGGGCGGGGCGCAAACCCGGTGGAGCGGTCAGGGGACCGGTGGTGACGGTTGCTGTCATCTCCCAGCTTTGTCACATCCAGACCTTAGAGCAAGTAACCTGTAGCAGCCCAGGACAGCTAGCTGTCTGCTCTTCCCGCCGGAAGCCTCGTTCGGATGAGAACGTCACTATCTATTAAGGTTTCCAGGGTGGCTCGCAGGGTCGGTTCTGGCTGTCAGACGATACAGTGGTGCCTTATCCAATAGGGACATTGGGGAATTAACAGGGCTGAGTACACCCGGAGCTGCCCAGGACGGTGTTTGCACGTAGAAAATGGCTAGCATTTGGGGAGGTAATTAGTGCCTCCCCTGGGAGGTTGTGAGGATTTAACATTACCCTAAGGCATTTTTTGGTCTTTCGTTGACTTTGATACCACCAATTTTGACAATACTGAGATTTGAGCCCACGAACTTTTCAGTAAGCTCAGCCCCTCTATGTGTTATTCATTTGTTTTTAAATTTTGAGACCAGGTCTCACTAAGTCACAGAATTGCACAGGCTAGGCTCAAACTTGAGATCCTCTTGCCTCAGCCTTGCAGAGTGCAGGGATTACGTGTGTGTGGCACCCACACAGCTTGCTTGGACACTTTATTTTATTTTTAATGTATTTGGTTCAAGGTCTCACCAAGCAGCTGGGACTCCTAGTGATCCTTCTGTTTACAGCCGCCTCAGCACTGGGATTATAGGCATGGGCCACCACGCCTGAAATCAGTGGTGGCTCTGCGCCTGAGGGCAGGGGCCAGTGTGGCATGTGGTGCCTGGGATGGAACACCCATCCCTGCGCTTGACTAAGCAGGCACGTAGTCTGCTGAGCTATCCCACCGGCTCTTGCTTGTACACTTTAGAGGAAAGGGTTTTACCCTGAACCCATCAGCTGGACACATTACTGCTGAAACACAACAGAATCTCCAGTCTAAGGGCCAGCCAAATAGCTCAGCAGATTAAAGCACCTGCAAGCTGGTGCAGGAGCTGGGGGGTTCAATCCCTAGGCCTGTCAGTGCTGGCCCTGCCCCCGGGGCACACTGAGACTGGGTGCTCTGAGGCTGGGCGTACTGGTGCACACCTGTAATCCCAGCACTTGGGAGGTTATAAACAGGAGAATCACTAAAAGTCTGATCTCCTAGTGAGACCTTGAACACCCTTGTAGACCCTTCCCTAAAATACAGGAAAGAAAAATCTCCAGTTTGGCCCTCTGGCCACAGCCTCTCCTTTATCCAGCCCTCTGTTCTTTGTCTTCTTGAAGAGTCCCATTCTGTGGCTGGGGACAGTGATGTGTCCCTCCAGTCCCAGGCGCTCCGGATGCTGAGGCAGCAGGATCACTTGAGCCCAGAGTTGAAGGATAGCGTAGGTAACATAGGGCCATCCCAACCTCCATCTCAAAAACAAGGCAGAAAGACTTTCATCTTTTTCCAACCTCTGGCCCTCCCAGGTCCAATACTTCCCCATCCCTACATTAGCACGCAACCTTTCTCCACTTGACCCTACATGCTTTCATGCCTTCACCATGTCCAGTGTGGCGTTATCATGAAGCAGTTGAGGTCTTAGTCCTGGAGTTTCCACTCAGTGGGTAGATAAACTGATCACAGGGATTTGGGGAGAAAAGGAGCCACAGATGTGACAGCACTGGGCAGGGTGGTTAAGGAAGCCACTGTAGGAGTGACATTCCAGCAGAGACTTGCATTTCTGTGAGATGGGTGGGCTCATTTGACCCAGTGGTGTCCCTGTCCGGGCTCCGTCAGCATCTGTCATAACTTCTCAGCTGTGTGTGACATGGGCCTCCATTGGGTCATAGTCCTCTCTGTTCAGTGGTGCCCTTGTGAGCCTGTAGTCACCACACCCTCAGCTCTTTCCCTTGCTACCTGCACTTCCTGAAGGTCCCTGTGATCCCAGCAGCAGTTCTAAGAGCTTCTGTGTTTTCCCTGCTCGACATTTGTAGTTCATAAGGACAAGGCCATCAAACAGGAGTCATCGCTCTGTTTCTTGGACTAAGAGGCCCGTCCTGGATCCTCCTACCCTCCCTGTTAACTTCTGGCTAAACCCAAGCCTTAGCTTTAGACATCCTCGTCCTCTGTCCCCAGTTCCCGTTTCCCCTTAGCTCAGGGCACTCTGCTACCGTTCCTTCAACTGCTTGTTTCTGACCTCTCTGCTGCCACACTGGGGATGTTTTTTGTCTTTAACCCACTTGCTCTTCTAGCTGTTAGCTGCTTCTCCGCTCTTGACATTTCTTGATTTCCAACACCGTTCTTTGTCCCATCTCCTATTTCTTTTCCCTTCATATTGGGGATTGGGCCCGGGGCCTTTGCACTTTTTATTTTTTATTTTCCCCAGCCCTTTTTGTTTCAGACAGGGTCTTGATGAGTTGCCCAAGCTGTGCTCTAAGCTATGATGGTCCTGCCTCAGCCTCCTCGAGTGGCGGGATTTACAGGTGTGCACCACCACGCCCAGGTGCTCCTTCTTGCTAGCTGCTCCTCTGACTTCTCTTCCTCCTGTCCCTTAAATACGCAGCTATGTGAGTGATCGCCTGCCATCAGATGCTGGCTGCTGCTTACAGCCCTGCACTGCGAGGCTGCCCAAGGCACTGCCTGCCTCTGGGGTCTCCCTCCAACCCTACGCTAGTCCCAAAGTGCCAGTGCTTTGCGGCCTCAGGCGTGCACTTGCTGCTGCCTCTAAGGAACTTCTCTTCATCTCCTTGCCCCTCTCAGCTCTGCTCTCTTCCCTGGTTATATCCGTGATATCCCCCGGTTATTTATTCCTTCACAGCACTCACGACAGCCTGCAGTTCTGTTGTGTACTTGTTACTGTGTCAGTGTGCTTTCCATAACGAATACTTTGAATAAGAGAAAGAGGGGCCGGGGAGATGGCTCAGTAGAATAGGTGCTTCCCTGCAAACCCAAGGGCCTGAGTTCAATCCCCAGTTCTGCAAAAAAAAAAAAAAAAAAAGAAAGAAAGAAAGAAAAAGAAAGAACTGGGTGTGGTGGTTCACACGTAAAATCCTAGACCTCTAAGAGGCTTAAACTATCCCAGCAATTTAGGAACCTAGTGAGACCCTATCTCAAAATAAAAAATTTTAAAAATGGGCCCGGGGGGGGGGCGGTAGCTCCATTTGAAGGCCCTGGGGTCCATCCTATCACCAAAAAATGGTTGTGGAGGTTTTGGTTTATGATAGATGCACACATTGCCCGGGGCCTGCGGAGAGGCAGCATATGGAGGTGGTGGCACCCGGTGAGGGTAGCTGCTTCCCTCAAAGGAGCCAGAAAGGGAGGGCAAATGAGGGGGAGAGCGAGGGAGACCAGAGAAGGGCCAGGTCCCTAGGTCCCTCTAAGGGCACGAGCCCAGGGATCTCACTTTGTCAGCCAGGCCCCACAAGGTCCCCCAACCCCAGCAGCACTGCGGGAACCTCCGTGCACAGGCCTTCCCCTCAGGTATGCTTGGGAGACAGTGAGGGTTGGACTCAACACCCGCTCCACGTGCTGCCTGGCACACGCGTGTGCATACCTCCCAGTGCATCTCCGACTTTCTGACCTCCCTCCCTCCATCTGCAGCCGGAAGTTTTCACTTGCTGTCCCACAACTGTTAGGACTCCTCACGCTTGCTGTGGAGCTCTTCTCCTTCCCTTCTCTTCCTCAGTCCCTTCCTTAGCTGTGGAAATCTTGATTGCTTCACTCTCTGGGCTGGGCATTTGAGTCCCTGGTGCACCCTCTCCCCAACCCTCTGGGCTTGGTGGTTGCTGCCTTTCTAACTTCACTGGTGCTGGGGGGGTTCAGGCCTCCTGGAACTGTGCCTGCCTTGGTCTCCTCTGCCACAGGGCTGGGGTGTGCTCGGTGCCACAGGCTTTCCCCGCTTGTGCGAGACTCTGGGTTTGCTGCCTGGGACAGTCGAAGCAAAAAGTGTCACTGTCCACAGGAAACTGTTCTGCATTGGAGGGTGTAGACCAAGTAAGTGCCCCGAACCCTCACTCCATGCAGATGGTGTGGCTGGCAGTGGCCATGTTTCCGGGCTGTAGTCTGGCTCATCTGGGCTGCTGGGGCGCTCTACGAGTGCTCTCCACTCGTGTATTTGCAGACCACCCACCTCTGTCCCCACCGCTCTGCCTTGCATAAGGCTGCCGTCATTTTAGCAATGCCTCCTGAACTCCCTCACCTGGTGCCCCTCTTGTAGCTTCTCTGGCACAAGTCAGTCGAGCCTCCTTCTGCTGAGCCTACCTGACCACAGTGCACAGGCCATGTCACTTGTAGCCAGCCCTGCCACAGCTTGCTCCTGAGCCCAGGGGATGCTGGTAGTGTTTGGGGGCACTATTTTGTTTTGGTTTTTTGAGACAAGGTCTCTTATGTAGCTCAGGCTGGCCTTGAACTTACACTGTGTAGTCTAGACTACCTTGAACTTGCAGTGATCCTCTTGCCTCAGCCTCCCAAGTGCTAGGATTTAGAAAGAGTCTTGCTATGTGTCCTAGGTTAGGGTCAATCTCTGGATCATCCTGCTTGTTTTAGTTACTTTTCTTCTTCCCACTCTGGCCCTAAGAATTAAAGAAGCGCAAGAGTTGATGACAGGAGGCCGGGGAGATGACTCAGTAGGATAAGAGCTTGACTGGCAAACTCAAAGATATGAGTTCAATCCCTGGTTCTGGAAAAAAAAAAAAAAAAAAAGTTGATGGCAGGCAGGTCAGGCAGAAGCCAGGGAGCAGCTGTCAGCCTCTCCTTTTCATCACTTCCAGGGATTACAGGCATGTGTTACCATGCTCAACTAGGTTTTAAAAGATTTTTTTTAAAAAGTTTATTTTATTTATTGTGTGTGTGTGGCCAGCTCAGCCCACCAGGGGGCGGGGCTGGCTGGCATGTGGTGCTGGGGGATTGAACCGCGCTTTGCTAAGCTTGTTCTAAGTAAGTGCTTTAGACCACTAAGCCATCTCATCAGCCCCTTAAAAGATAGATCTTTATATACTTTCTTTTAAAAATATTTATTTGGTACAGGTCTTGCTATGCAGCTTGGACTTGTATTGATCCTCCTGTCCTCTTGCCGCAGCCTTCCAGTACTGGCATTACAGATGGAAGCTCCCATGTCCAATGTTGGTGGCCAGTGTTCTGGAGCCAGCACGGCATGCAGTATAGGGGATTGAACCCAGGTCCTTATGCGTGTCAGGCAGGCACTTAGATCACCAGGCTATCTCACTAGCCCCTACTTTTTTCAGCCCCTATATTTTTTAAAAATAAAAATTTTGGGGGGAATGGTGAGATAGCTCAGCGGACTAAAAGCTTAGGCAAGCTCAGGGGCCTTGGTTTGATCCCCAGCACCACATGCCATGCCAGCCCCACCCTCAGGTTGGGTTGAGCTGGCCGGAGTCCAGGCGTAGTGGCGCATGCCTCAGCACTGGGGATGCTGAAAGCAGAAGGATCACCATGAGTCCGAGCTGCATAGTAAGACCCTGCAAGAACCAAATACATTAAAAATATATATAATAATAATTTTTTTTTTTTTTTTTTTGCATTTTGTAACAGGAAGTGATGGCACACACTTGTAATTTCAGCACTTGGGAGGCTGATGTAGGAGAATCACAAGTCTGAGACCATATCAGACTACATAGAAAATTCAAGGCTAGTCAGTCTGGACTGTTTAGCAAGATCCTGTCTCAAAAAATAGATAAATAAATAAATAAAAATAAAAATCAAGCCAGGGCCAGAGATAGCTCAGTGGACTAAGTGCCTGCTTTGGCAAGCACAGACAGGGTTTGATCCTGATCCCGCATGCTGCACCGGTGCCAGCCCCGCCCCCGGGTCATGCTGAGCCTCTGATGGAGTCCAGGCATGGAAGTCCATGCACTGAAGAGGCTGAAAATAGGAGGATCACTAGGAGTCTGAGCTGCATAGTGAGACCCTGTACCAAATACATTTAAAAAAAAAAAAAGCCAGCAGGGTATAGTAGAATATGCTATAATCCCAGCACCAGAATCACCTCGTTGGAGGCCAGCCTGAACTATATAGTGAGACCCTGTCTCAAAAAAACAAATAGCAACAAAAAAACTGGTTTCAGGGATGGAACCCCAGAGGTACGTCTCCAACTGCTAACACAAAAGATAACTTTTGGGATTCAACCCAGTACCACTACGTGCCTACCCAGGTTTTTTTTTTTTTTTTTTTCATGTTAGGGATCAAACCCAGGCCTTGTATGTGCAAGGCAAGAACTCTTACCACTGAACCACATCCCCAGTCCTTTTCCCAAACCCTTTTAAAATTTTATTTTGAGACAGGATATCGCTAGTTTGCCCAGATCAGCCTCAAACATGCAATCCTGTCTCACCCTCCTAAGTATCAGGGATTACTGATGTGTACATCAGCAGAACAAAAGTTTTTTTTTTTTTTTTTTTGTGGAACCGGGGATTGAACTCAGGCCCTGGTGCTTGCCAGGGAAGCACTTATTCCACTGAGCCATCTCCCCAGCCCCAAAAGATATTTTTTAATACAACCAGTTATCTTGAATCACTGACCTAGAGATTTTTTGTCTTGTTTATTTTTGGAGACAGTCTCTTGCTATGTAGTGCAGGCAAGCCTTGAACTCATTATGTAGCCCAGACTGGACTCAAACTTGTGATAGCCCTGCCTCAGCCTCCAAGTGCTGGGATCACAGGCGTGCACCACCATCCCTGACTGCTTGTTTTCTTTAAGAAAGATTTCTGAGGGCCGGGGAGATAACTCAGTTGCATAAGCACCTGTCTAGCAAGTGCAGGGTCCTGAGTTCAATTCCCAGTACCAAAAAGAAAGAAAGAAAGAAAGAAAGAAAGAAAGAAAGAAAGAAAGAAAGAAAGAAAGAAAGAAAGATAGACAGACACAGACAGACAGAAAGAAAGAACAAACAGGCACAAAGATTTCTGGCAACATGTAGTGCTATCTGTCTCTAATCCCAGCCCTCTGGGAGGCTGAGGCAAAAGCAACTCAGTGACTTAGCAAGACTGGTTTTCTTTGTCTTGTGAACCTGGGTATGGAGCCTAGGCCTCAAAAAAAGGGCTGAGGATGTAGCTCAGTACAAACGCCCTGGGCTCCTAGTACTGCCAGTCCATTTATTACTTATTTTGGCAGCACCAGCATGCCAATCCATTTAAAACAAAATTTCTCTTTTTTTCTCACTTTCTCAGTCCTGGGGCTGCTTAGTATACACAGGACTGAGAAAGACAAAAAGTCCAGACACAGAGATGTTGCTTCTCTGGAGGGCAGGGTATGAAGAGCACGAGGATCTGTCCTTTGTAGCCCTGCCCCATGTGTCCTGTCATCCTCAGGGACGTGCTGCTCGCTGCTGCCCTCTGCTGGACAGGCTGTGAAACATACTGAGCTAGGCAGCACCCATCACCATGGAGGGGAAGGGCCAGTCGCAGTCCCTTTCTCGTTGCCTGGCACTCTGTACCCCTGTGACATTGTGACTCTTATTTGTGCATGATGTCTCACACAGTCTATCTGCACATATGAACTGACAGGTTGAGCAACTACCAGAGCTCAAATCTGAGCTTAAATATTTCATTAATTTCTGAGTCAGACTTCTGTGAAAACTCAGTTTACACTGAGTTGTTTTGTTTTGTCTTGTGGTTCCGGGGCTCAGTGTACCACCGAGCTGCTCCACACCCTGATGTTACTTAGTGGGAAAATGAAATGCTTTTTTAGCGAGTTCAGAATCCACGAAGGGTTCTTAGCTAGTAGAGAAAGAGTAAGTTAAAAAATCAGTTTACTGTGGTCATTCAGTTTTGAGAATCAGCGATGTGATCGTTAGTTTTCTTTTTTTTTCTTTCCAGTGTGGTTTTTAAAGGTTACTTTCACTGATGATAGGGTTAGGTTTTTTGGGGAGCCATAATTTAGCCTTTTCTCTGGAGTGAGGACAGATCCTGATGGCAGGATGACAGATTTGTTCTGGTGCTGGGCTGGTCTCTTTTCACGCAATTGCAATCAAGATACATGTGCTGCCCTCCGAAGGGAAGTGATTTCTCAGCTGCAGAGTGTAGCGCTGACGAGTCAGTGTGCCGGGCACCCACTGGGACCGCCTGCTTACACATGAGCTGCGGCTGATGCCTACAGTAGCTTTGCAAGAGACAGATGCTGTCATTACCCCTATTTGACAGAAGAGGAAAACGAGGCCTGCAGAAGGTTGTCCAAGGTCTCAGAGCTCATGAGTAGTAGCAGGATTTGAGCCCAGCCAAAAGCCAGGACTCGTGCCCAGTGTGTAGCTGGGTAGCTTCCTGCGTACTCTGTGAAGACCAAAGCAGCGGCCTAATCCTATGCTGGGATGAAGGAGAGATAGGCAGAGAGGCCATGGGGGAGGCTCTGGGGCGGATCTCTCTGCCTAAACAGGCCAGGCCCTGGATCTGGCGTCGAGGGTGGGCTTAGGGGCTGGGAGTAGGGCAGGTGGCCCAGAATTGCCTCAGTCCCAGTTGCAACCCGAGAGTCTGCCATGCTGCTGGATCTCTCCCACTGCTGTGGGTCCCTCGGGCTTCCAGCGACCTTGAGAGGGCAGGAGCTTGCGTAAGATAACACTTTGCATTTGCGGGGTGAATGTTTTCTAAAACCTGGCTTTTCTGCTTTGGCCCAAGTGTACTTTTCAGGATGTCCATGGGTGTTCAGACTGTCCCCAAGTCCCTACCGTGCTCATGGAGGACTCACTTTCCTCCTGGGCTCACTGCCCTGGGCCCAGTCCGCCCCCACTCCCTGGCTGAGCTGCAGGGCTCTGCTGCACTTGCCTTCTTCCTCTTGGGTGTCTGAGTAGTGTGGGTTTCATAGTAATCATGGCTCACCTTTCTATTGTGTTTTTTGGGTGTTTTGGTTTTGGTTTTGGAGACAGGGTCTTGCTGTGTAGCCCAGGCTGGCCTCAGACTCCTGAGCGCAGTCATCGTGCTGAGCACTGTGCTTGGATCATCATGGCCCACCTCGCAGGGGGGCTGCATGGGAAGGAAGCTGGGGCCTACGGTGGGGTCAAGCCATCCTTTGACTTGCGCAGCAAAGGAGATTTGCATCCACTACTTTAGCTGGGGTCCCAAGTAGGTTGCTTGGGGCCCGCAGTGAGACCAGAGAGGTTGAGGAGGGCCAGGCAAGTAGTGATGTTGGTCTTTTCCCTGCCAGCTACCAGAGGTTCACTGACTGTTACAAACACTTCCACCAGCTGCAGCCTGAGATGACCCAGCGGATCTATGACAAGTTTGTCACTCAGTTACAGGCATCCATCCGGGTGAGTGGCTGGAATCCCACAGGCACCACTGGCTTGGCTTTTGTCTAGATTGTGATCTCCTGGGGCAGTGACCTCTCTCCTCCATGCCCAGTAGGCTGCAGACCCAGTCCCCCCTAATGCTCCCTTCTCTCCTCGTCCTGCTGTAATTATGTGTTTTCGGTCCTCTGAGTTCAGGGAGGGCAGAGCCTTCCTCATTGTATACCTCCTGTAGCTGGGCCAGTGCTGGCTCAGAAGACGCATTTAGGTAATTGAGTGTTCCTGGAGAGGCAGAAAAGGATGGGGCTCCATCCCTGTGCTGCGCACTGCAGTGTCCCCACCTCGCTCCAGGACAGTCCCATGGGGTGTCAGTCACAGTGCATGTAGTCAGCCTGGGTATCGGGGATGAGACCCAGCAGGGAGAGGCTTCCTGAAGGCTTTTGTCAATGTTTGCCGTTTATATCTCATCTTCTTAATTATGAAAGCCACACTGGGGGTGTAGCTCAGCAGTACAGCGCCTGCCTGGCAAATGCAAGATCCTAAGTTTGATCCTTGTACCAAAAAAAAAAAAAAAAAAAAAGCCACATACTGTAGAAAAGTTGGGACTTTTGGGAAGGTACAAAAACACAACAGAAATTAGCCAGCTCTTCTTTAGTGGGGTTCCCCGATCAGCATATTTCTATCCCAAGCTTGTCCAGTGTCATCACTGCTCTTTTCTCTTTTCTCTTAGGAGGAAATCTCAGAAATTAAGGAGGAAGGGAACCTAGAAACTGTCTTAATGTCCTTGGATAAAATTGTGGAAGATGGCAAAAAGCGCAAAGAGCCCGCCTGGTAAGAAGGAGGCATGGGACGAGACAGCCGTCAGCCCCTAGGCTGAGCCAAGCGCGTGGGAAGTGGGACGGGGCCCTGAGAGAATGACACGCAGCAGACTGGACCCAGGGACAGCTGGCAGGCAGCGTCCCTCTGAGGAGGACCCTCGGGGCACAGGCAGCTGCCCACGCCCCCAGAGGCTTGTGGCTTGTGGGAGAGGGGAGCGGAGGGGAGATTCTGTTCCTTCAGTGAATGCTGAGGGGGCACCTACTGTGTGCTCAGTGCTAGCATAGCTGCCAGAGCTTTGGCAGCGACGAGCTCCCTGAGCTGACACGGGGGGGGGGGCAGTTTGCTGCCTGCTGGGCTATATGCAGTTGAGAGAGGTGGGCCTGGCACCTGGCCTGCTACTACTCTCCTGTCCCTCACAGGCCCCAGGCCAGAGGGAAGGCTGTGTTTTTTACTTGCCATTGTCTTATGCTCTTTGACTTTAGTCCTAAGAGAATGAAGTTGTACAGCTGAAAAAAAATTTTGAGAAGAACTTCCAGTGGCTGAGTCCGCTCCCCTTGCTCCTGCCTCCTCAGGCCCACTGTCCTGATGTTCCCTCATTCGCCAGCTCATCCTGGGCCCTGAGCCACCCCAGCTGCCACCACCCTGCTCTGGCCGGCTCACAGCACAGTCACCTCGGCCCTAGGCTGCTGGAGAAGGGGCAGTGTAGTGGGAGAGAAGAGCACGTGGGGTGCGGCGGGGAAGGCTGAGCCTAGGACTGAGTGTGGTGACCCTGGGGCAGGGGTGCACTTCCCTCAGGGCAGGTCTGGGGGCGCAAGAGAGTGTGCGAGAGGTCTTGGAGTAGCTGCCTGGGAACAGGAGCGGGGATGGCACTCCTAGTGTTTGGAAGTAGGACCCTCCCATTCATGTGTCATTCCCCCATCCCTGGGCCCCATATGGCCCCCAGGCGCCCCAGTGGGACCCCAGAGAAAGACCTGTGCAGCGTCCTGGCACCCTACTTCCTGCAGCAGCGGGACACCCTCCGGCGTCATGTGCAGAAGCAGGAGGCCAAGAACCAGGAGCTGGCCGAGGCCGTCCTGGCAGGGCGCAGACAAGTGGAGGAGCTGCAGCGGCAGGTGCAGGCTCGGCAGCAGGCCTGGCAGGCAAGTGTTCAGTCCTGCCTGCTCTCTCTTCCATCTCTGATAGGCCCTTGAGAATCTCCAAAATGGTGGCTTCCCGTCTCCCAACATAAGAGAAGCCATGGGGTGCAGCGCTGCTGCCTGTGGTTGTAGTCTCGTCACCTGTGCTTGGACTCATACAGCAGGCCCCTTACCACCTCAGCAGACAGGCTGCCAGGTTCCTCTTCCCTGGCCAGCCTGCCCTTGCGGAAGTCCAGCTCTAGCACACATTGCCTCTGCAGCTACTGAGGCAGTGCGCCAGGCTGGCCAGGATCCCATGCCAGGCCTGGCTCCTCAAGTCAGAGTGTGAGCCTGGGTCTCTGGACCCATCCATGGCTCACCTGCTCCGTGTGAACATGGTGCTGTCCTTAAAATGTGCAGTTGCCAGACCTGGTGGCACACACTTGTAATCCCAGCTGTCAGGAGGCTGAGGCAAGAGGATTGTGGCGAGTTCAAGGCCAGGCTGGGCTACAAAGTGAGCTCAAGGCCAACTTTGGGGACTGGGGAGATGGCTCAGAAGAATAAGTGCTTGCCTGGCAAGTGCAAGGGCCTGAGTTCAATCCCCAGTTCTGCCAAAAAAAGGCCAGCCTGAACTGCATACTGAGACCCTGTCTCGGACAAAATATGCACTTGACAGTGGCTTCTGGAACCTTTGGTGCAGCTCCACCACCCACCAGCAAGGGGGCCGTTCAAGGGTGAAGTGGACTTTTTGCAAGTGGCATCAGGTGAATGAGGAGAAGGTCGATGAGCACAGACGTGGCACAAGTAAAGGGACGGAGTTGCTCTGGGAGGTGTCTGTAGGCCTGGTGGTGACACTACTGATGGATTCTTTCCATCCATAATGTGAACATCCGGCTTAGATCTGCTAGTGATCGCTGGACAGCCACTTGCTGAGCCCAACCCTCCTGTTCTGGAGACAAGCAGGGCCCCAAATCCGCGGCCCTCAGGTACCCTGGTCTGCTCTGCTGAAGACCACTCAGCTTCGGCCCAAAGCTCTGCCTTGACTGGCAACAGGTGCGGAAGCTGGTGGCCTGCGTTCTCTCCCGTTCTAGTCTCTTCATGTCACAGACTGGTCCTTGGGGGCCAGACACCAGTGCAAAAGTTGAAGTGACCAAGGTCACAGTGCCCTCAGCCTAGTGCTGTCTCTTGGGTTAGACTACTCAGCTGAGTCCTCCGGCAAGGCACTGTGCCTCTGCCACACAGCGCCCCAGGGCCGTCTCATCACTAGGCCCTGGTTTCCCCATTGGCCAAATACTGCTCCTCAGAGCTTCCTTGGCTCTGAAGCTCTGGGCCCCAGTTTTAAGAGGGAGAATGCAGGCCCTGCTCCTGAAGCCACATGTGCCCGTCCCAGCTCTGGACCTGGCGTCACTTGAAGTGGGTCACTCAGATTGGTGTTGAGGGCTGAGCCCTGTGTGGGAGCTCTAGTCTGCAGCCCAACTGGAAGCTCACTTAGGCTGGGATGTGGCCCAGTGGTAGCATTGTGCCCAGCATGTGTGAGGTTCTGGGTCCAGTCCCCAGTAGAAAGCTTTGGTGAGGTCAGAGGGTTGGAGGCGCTGCTTTGGGGGGCCTTTTTTTGACCATGGCTATGGCACCTTGCCTGTTACAGATACCTCCAAGTGGTAGGGACTTCTGTGTGCCTTCAACTTAAAGTGCCTGCGGGGCCAGTGACAGGACCCAGAGGTCTGTCTTGTCTGAGGGGAAGGCCAGCCTGGAGTTCGGTACCACCATGGCAAAGGTTTGGTTTCTTCCCCTGACAGGGCTGTTCTCTGCCCATTTCAGGCTCTGCACAGAGAGCGCCGGGAGCTGGCAGCCGTGCTGAAGGAGCCTGAGTGAGGGTGCACAGCAGGCCCTGGAGCAGAGCAGAGGGCAGTCAAGGTCAAGGCCATGGCCAGCATGCTGGGTCCTAACCCTGAGGACAGGCGAAATGGTGCCAATCCCAGCGCAGCAAGAGAGGATCAGCTTCGCCTCTGGGGCTCCCTTGGGTGTCATCATGCCACTTCAGATGTCTCCCATTGTCTTCTACCCTGGGAATCAGATGCTGAGCTTTCTCTCCACTGCTGGGTACAGGCCAGCACTGTCCCCTACACCCTCCTACTTCCTGAACTCCACCCCCAGCCCAGAATGTGTTTTCAATCTCCACTGATTGCCATCTTGCTGGCCAGCCTAGGGGCACTTGCCATGTTCTGCCCACATCTGTAAATAAACTTCCTCTGCTACACTGTAATCTTGGAGGATGCTTCCATGCCTGGTGTCTCTGTGGCCAAGACCCACTGCGGGCCTCCTGCCCCAGCAGCTGCGCAGGTCCATGAGCTGGGGGCGGGGGTGGATAGCCGGGTGGGTTGTGTTGGGCTTCATGAGAAGAGGATAATGGAGATGACTCTGGGTCCCCTGGAACCAGGACAAACTGCTGAGGAGTGGCACTGTCCATCCTTTTTTTTTTTTTGGCAGAATCAGGGATTGAACTCAGGCCCTTGCTCTTGCCAGGGAAGTGCTTATTCCACTGAGCCATCTCCCCGGCCCCATGGCACTGTCCATCCTTGCCCACCTCTGCCCTCTGGGTTAATTCTGAGATGGAAGTAATGGCCTCAGTGTGTAAGGAGGGTACTGTAGGAAGATGGATGTCCTTGCTTTGATCTCCAGCCAGGGGCCACACAAGCAGGGTGGTGTTCCCTGGGCTTTTCTTGGGAAGCCTCACCCTAACCCTGCAGGCAGAGGCCTGGTTAGGTCTGTCTGGGGACAAGAAGATACCAGGTGGCGCCACTTAAGCTCCAGGCCCTCCAGCTGAGCCCAGGCTCCTTCCCCTCTGTTGACTCCCTCCCCCAGACTCCTTCCTCCCAGGCCACACTGTGACGAGAGCTTTGTTATTTTTCAGGCTGGGCAGACATTGAGTCCTGTGGGTGGCATGTGAGTGGGGACACAGCCAGATGGGAGAGACCAGTCCACCACCCACCTCCAAGTGAACCTGAGGTAGTGGCAGCACTCAGGCATGGGATGTTGCAAGCTGGGCTGCTCAGGCCTTCCCGTCCCCTACAGGAGGCTGGAGGCTGGAGCTTCAGGAGCTCTGTCTCCCTGTGGCCTCAGCTGTTAGGGCCACAGGAGTGGGGTCCTACTGCAGTGCCCACCCCCATCCTGGTCCTGTAGACCTGGCACTTGTAGCCATGTGCCTTGCCTGGGGACAGAGAAGCTGTCCTTAGAGCTTGCCCCCCGTCTGTTGCCCTGACCCTTCGGTTCCGGTGTGCACCCCTGAGCAGCCAGGCTCCCCTTTTCGTCCTGCTGGCAGATGAGGACACTGCCAGCCTGGCCTTCATGGGTTTGGCCCCTGCCCCCAGGGTACACAGTGCAAATCACAGCCTGCGGAGACCCAGCTCTTTCAAACCTATTTTAGACCTCAGCCCCCCTTCCTCTCTGGGCTCTTCCTAGATTCCAACCAACATTCAGGCTTTGGTTGGGGGTGTCCAGAGAAGACAGTAGGGGCTGGGGGAGAGACAGGCCTCCAAGAAGGGGTCTGGGCAGCGTCCAGAGGTTGGCAGTCTCAGATTGCACCCACCTTCCTCCCTCATCCGCCAAGGCCCAGCCCAGGCAGCCACAGCGCCCAGCCACAACATCCTCTGGGCTTTGTCCCACAGAGCCAGGGTAGATGACCCCCAATTAGCCTTGGAAACTTTCCCTGTGTCCCGCCTGCCTGACCCCTGGGCAGCCACAGCCCCCTTACCTCAGGGGGTATAAATAGTGCTGGTGCTGGTAGGGACAGACTAGCTGAGTTGCTGCAGCAGCCCCAGTCACCACGCCCCCAGGCACCATGAAGGCCCTCACACTGCTCACCCTGCTCGCTCTGGCTGTGCTCTGCCTGGCTGCCTGGACAGGTAAATGTCCTCTCCTCTCCAGGGCATGGCCCTGGGCTCTCCTGACCCTTCCCTCCTCCAATCTCACTGCCTTCCTGAGGCTCAGTCCATTCGTCCCCAGATCTACCCATGGAGGGAGAGGCAGGGGGATGAGCAGGGTGAACTGGCTCCCTTTTTCTGCAGATGCAAAGCACAGCGGTGCAGAGTCTGGCAAGCGTGCAGGTAAGCTGGCCCGGGAAGGGGGAGTGCTCAGGACCCACCTTTGACTCACTTCCCCACTCCTGCCACCTCCTCTGCCTGGCTGGCCTGGCAGGGAGGCCAGCCCCCACCCATCATCCTGAGCATGGAGCCACCTGATGCCTGTGCTCTGCCCTACAGCCTTCTTGTCCAAGCAAGAAGGCAGCGAGGTGGTGAAGAGACTCCGGCGCTACCTGGACCAACCTGGTGTTGGGTAAGAAGGGGAGGTGCTGGGCCAGCCCCGTGTCTCTGGGTCTCAGATGTTCCTGCATGAGTGGTGGTGCAGAGTGGCCCCCAGACCAGGCCACCCCATCCTCCCTGGCTGGCACTTTCCAGCCCCATGTGCAGTGAGGGGGGTACCTTGCCTGGACTGATGCCACTGTGGGGGGCTTCTCAGAGCCCCCGCCCCTGCTCCAGATCCCCTGGAGCCCCAGAGGGAGGTGTGTGAGCTCAACCCAGACTGTGACGAGCTGGCGGACCACATTGGCTTCCAGGACGCCTATCAGCGCTTCTATGGCAGGGTCTAGGATTCCTGCCCCGCCGACTGCCCACAGCCCCACCAACCTCTGCTCCCCACCTAGACCCTGCCCTCCCCTTGCACCCTGTCTGCCAGCCTTCCAGTGGGGCAGCCTGGCTACTCCTAAATAAAGCCCAGAGGAGGAACTGGTGGCGTGAGTCTGTCTAGTCTGCAGAGTTGGGGGGTGAGGGAAGGAGGGAAGATTCAGCCAATGTGGAGAGGAGTGTCTACCTTCTTCAGTCCCAGAAAGTGTTTCCCAAGTCCAGTTTATTCAGTGCATCTGCTCTGTTCCAGAAAGCATTGAAGCTGGCTTCCTAAAGTCTAACTATGGTCACCCCTTGAGCCCCATACCCTTCCCCGCCCATACTCCATCCAAACTGTCCAGCCCCCGGGGCCTGGACACCTTGAAGACACAGTTGTGACCAGAACAGACACAGTCTCTGTTACAAAAAGCTGCTGGCACCCTGGATACCATCTGCTTCTGGTGGGGGCAGAAGGTGGCTCTGGGCCTGGTTAACAAGCATTGGAGCAGGCCTAGGTTAGTTGTGTCAGGTCTTCCAGGCTGAGCAGACTTCAGGAGCACCAGAAACAGGCCAGGGGAAGGCCTGATGCCCCCACTCCAGCCTGGACACACACATCTCCCCTCACAGACCCTCAGCACATCCCTACACCCACACATGCCCTCCACGGTCCCCACCGTTCTCTGCTGATGCCTTAAATATTTGTCCCTCCTCTCCTGTGCCCTCTTCCTGATCCTCCTCAGCCTCTCTTGTTCCAGGCTCAGTTGTGCCCCCACCTCAGGTCACAGCCCTGAGGCCAGGCCTCTGCTGTCCTCTAGCTGGGGACAGAAAGGGACCTTACTGTTCTTTGGCCTGGGATGCCCCCTCTGGTGGGCCACCCTGCAGCAAGGGACACGTTCCAGGGACCCGAAGCAGGGAGGCTGTGAAGGCGGCAATGATGATCAGGTTTCCAACCACCGCCAGGCCCAAAGTGGCCACGGTGCCCTGCAAGCCCAGGGGTGGCTCCTGCGCGGCCAGCCAGGCTTGGCGCGATCCCATATCAGCTAGCACTGCCTCCAGCTGGAAGTGGGTGCCCAGGACAGCACAGATGTGGAAAAGCTGGTGGCTGTGGCCTGCAGGGAGGGAGCAGGTCAGGGTGCATGTGCATTCTGAGGCTTGCCCTGACTCACTGTCACTTAGGGCAAGTTGCCTCATCTTTTGGGCCTGCTACACCCAGAGTGGGTGATCTGATCTACAGAAAGCCCCTAACAACATGTGCCATCAGTTTTGCTGTCACAAAGAAGTGGAGAGGAGGGGCCTGAGGAAGAACAGCAAGTTCTTCCTGTCCTTTGCTCCCACCTTCAGCCTGTGAACTCCATTTACCAAGCCCTTGGATGCTTCGGGATGCTGTCCCCATTCCTCCCCAAAGCAGGCTGGGCGTGCCCTCACCAATATAGTCAAAGCGTCCGGGGGCCAGCCGCTCAGGCAGGTGGGAGGCGAAGAGGAAGCCGGTGAGCATCGCACACAGGAGATGGTAGCCATGGCTGGAGCTCAGCGCCTCCTGCCCACAGCTGTGGGTCCTGCCCCAGCACAGCCCAAGCTGGCAAAGGAACAGCACGGCTGGGGGAAGGTCTTTGCGAGTGGGACAGAGGATGTAGAGCCGGAAAACACTGCTGGGGCAGGTGCTGGGCCGGGAGAATAGGCAGAGGGCTGAGCTTGGGGAATGCGGACTCCTGGGACCCCAGACCTTCTTACCCGGTAGAAAAGTGGGAGGTTGTCGAACAGGAAGGGATAAGCAAAGGCAGCTGTGCGCAGGACCTTACTGAGCCCAGGACTTTCCAGCTCTGGGAACCTGGGATGCGATATGGACAGGTTAGTGACCACCCCTAGCTTAGCAGGGCAATGGGGCCTTGGGCCCAAATGGAGCATACAGGCTAAGAAAGCCCTTACTTAGGTTATGTGACCCTCTCTGTAACCAGCCAAGAGGCTGTGAAAGTTCAAGGAGTCAGCAGCTGAGCACGGTGGCACACACCTGTCATCCCAACATGTGGGAGCTGAGGCAGGAGGGGCACAGGTTCGAGCCTAGATTGGACAATTTAGAGAGTGAGACTGGCTCAAATATAAGAGTGCCTAGGAATGCGGCTCAGCACAAAACCCCTGGGTGTAATGCCCAGTACTGCAAAAGAAAAAAAGAGAGATGGCACAGGATACAAGCAGTAACTGATGTTGAGGGGCAGTGTGGAGGTTCTCTTGTTTCTGCGGTCTGCCTTCTGAGCTCACTGCGGGGAGCCTGAGAACCTACCTGGAATAGCAGGAGAGGCTGGTACACAGGAAGGAGTTGAGCGCAGCGGCAGGCACGAAGAACTGGTGCAGGCGACCGTGCAGCCAGGAGGCTGGCATGGAGTAGGCAGCATAGGGGAAAGCGCAACCTGTGGGAGGCAAGGGGCTGAGGCTGAGGCGCCCTCCCTCCTCCCCGCCCTCCCTTACTCCCTTGGCCGCCGGCGCAGCTCACCCAGGCTGTAGAGGCTGAGTGCACCGTAGTCCAGGAAGTAGCAGATGTGCCGTGCGCGGGGTGACATGGAGCTGAAGGTGTGTGCGCAGCACGACGCAAAGGGGTAGAGGCAGGCGGGCAGCAGAAAGACCAGCAGGGGCCGGCGGTAGGGCTCCGCGCCGCCCGGGCCCTCCGCCAGCACCATCAGTCGCCACAGGAAGTACCTGCGGACACAAGCAGCTCAGCCGAGACCTTGCCGCTCTCCCGCACCCGCTGCCCTTGGGGCCTTGGCTCACCAGGTGGGCAGGAAGTGCGTCCAGATGTTGACTGTCTCGTTGGTCATCTGGAAGGAGCTGAGCACACAGTCCAAGGCCGAACTGGTGGGACGGCGGTAGCCAGACATGATGCCATCTTCCCAGAACACCTGGGGCAGTGGGGCGGAGGGGCGTCACCGGGGGCTCCCTCCGGGAGAGGTCTCTGGAAGCGACCCCGAGAAGCTTGTGCCAGACAGCACAGTGGCCTCAGCCAAACTCAGTCCGATCCCGGTCCTCACCCACAGAACAGATGAGTGAGGTGGAGAGGGCACCCAGGGCGCTCGGGGAAGGGAGCCTGGACAAGCCCAGGGTGGGGGGCACGCTTGGTCCTCCAAGGACAGAGGAATTCGCCGCTGGCACAGGAAGAATTAGCACCAGAGCTAGAAGATGCTCCGCTGCAGCCGCCCCTAGGGAGCAAAGTGGTGGTGGGTTGAGCCCTCACCCGGGGGACTTGATGGACTCGGAGGAGTTGGGGCAGCTTGAGACTGAGCATGGCCGGGCACCTCCACGCTGACCTGGAAACAAATTGAGGGGCATCAGGGCCCCATCCAGAGACCCCTGGCCACCCAGCTTCAGGACAGACTTGACCTCTGGGCCACGGATGGGCTCCGTGCGTGGATGGCCCCACTTCCCCATTAAGTATCCCAAGACCCTTGCTGCTGCCAGTCCTAGCCCGGACCCCGTCCAGAGAGAGGTTCAGCCAGCCCCGTTCCGCCTCTGCAGGGTACAGCCCTGTTTCCCGAGGCAGTGTAGCGGGCCAAGCACCCACCCCAGCAAGTTCGCTGGCCCGCGGCGCTGCGACGCGCTCCGAAAACTCTTGCCCTCGGGGAAAATTCCTGAAGAGGCAGGACGCCAGCCAGTAGAGCAAGAAATCAGGTTGCCTGGCTCTTCTCTGAGAACTACATTTGTGCCCCCTGGGGGCTCTCAAGGCCCCTGCCCCTCCGGAGCCCGCACCCTTCAGCCCAGACCTGCGTGCTGCCTCCCTCCGGGTGGCGCGGCTCCGCTGCCCCGCCTGCCCGCCGCCGCTCCCAGCACATTCCTTGGCACCCGCGAAGGGGCTGGGCCAGCGAGGTGGGTGGCGCCGCCCGAGTGGAGGGAAAAAGAACACTCCCCCTCCCCAGGCCAAAACTTTCCAGCAACTCAAAGACCGGCCCCGCCCCTTCCTGCCGCCGGCTTCACCCTGCTGCCTGGAAGCGCTGCTGAGCATACCGCCAGCAAGTCCCCCAACTCTGCTCCCCTGTGATCACGTTTGGGGACTCAGCTTCTGAGCTGGGGGCACAAGGCAAACCTGTGCTCCACGTGAACACAAGAAACCGTCCCTCCCGGGAGGAGGTTGCAAGTTATCTTCTATCACAAGTGCTGCCCAGCTACCTGGAGAGGTTGAGAACCTGGGGCTCCTCTCCCTTCATCAATGCTTTAGAAATTTCTGTAGGGCAGTGGGTTCCTGCGGACGCCAGGGAAACGGGGACCTGAACAAGAGCTTTACCTTGGGAGGAGTCAAGAGCCCAAGGAGTGTGTCCTTATTCCGAGCTCCACGGGGCTCAGAGTGGGGCTGACAGAGCAGAGTGACAAGGAGGGCCGGGCCTGGGCGGGGAGTGGGGAGACAAAGGGGAGCCCGGAACAATCCTTGCCTTGTCCAGCCTCTAGGGAGCAGCGCAGGGTGGCCCAGCCCCATTAGCAGGCAGCTCACTCAGCATCCCGTGCGTGCGCAGCCAGCGCCTGGCCTGACCCATGCTGGCCAGACACTGGCTCAGGCTGTGACAGGGTGGGGGCCCGAGCCTGGCCACAGCTGTGCTGTGGTGCAGTGCAGTCCCCAGCCAGTGCACCCCAGGCCCCCAAGTTCTTCTGGGCAGAAGGCTCCAAATCCCTCAGGCTTTGTGCACACCACCACGTGTGGGCAGGGGCTCTCAGGGTCTGCCTTTGCCTGTTGGGTGGGCCTGCAGTTGACTGCAGTAGCCTTGCAGGAGGCTCTGGACGGCTCCAAGGGCACCCACTGAGCAGCCACCTCCCAAGGCCCAGGGCCTCCGGTCCCCACCACATAGATGGCACCAGCAGACAGACACACTTGGGGGGGGGTGTCTTTATTTAATGATGCTTTTGTCTCAGTCTCTGCCAGGAAGTGGGGTGACCCCATTCCCCCAGCTTCTCTGGACACATTGTCTTGGAGGAAGCAGGCAGGAAGCCGGTTCCCCTCTAAGCACAGCCTGGAAAGCAAGGCTGATACTGGGGTGTGTGGGGGCAG